GTTACTAAATCATAGAGAAAGAATTTCTCTATGATCCAATCAGAAACTCTAAAATTATGGGGTGACTTACTTGAGATACACCCCCATTACCTAAAGTATAATAGGCAAACACCCCCATATCACTGGGTCAGTAACCAGTAACCAGTAATCAGTAATCAGTAGTCAGTAGTTAGATTCAATTCAGAGAGCCGAGCTGACTCCACTCAAAAAGGGTTCTCTAACATCTGAAACCTGGAGTTTAGCTGATTGTAAACAACGTACAGTTTGTGAGAATAAAAAATTGCAGTGTACTAAAAGGAACTGTGTTATCTCATTAAAAAGTCACCAGCAACTAACCGATATTTAACACTAGGTCTTTCGCGAGATGCACAGAGCAGCTGATCATTGAGGCTAATACAGACTTGAGAATAGCGCATGCACAAAATATGTTCTATAAGGATGATTATGAATAATTCATGAAATTTTATCAAACTATCCTACGTTTAAAAAAAATGCGTGCCCCATGGCCCGTCGCTATGCCACTGGGTGCGCCCTCACCATATCCAACCCTGTCTAAAAGTACGGACCTGATTGGCCATTTTTAACCTGATCCAATGCAATGCTTTTCAGAGTTTGATGTGTGGTTTTTGATATTAGGCTTACTTATGTTTACTACAGCATCAATAATTTGTGCAAACATCTTAGAGAAAGTATGTCCTGTATTCTACTTACTTTTACAGGGTGTGATACTACCGTACATCATTATTTGTTGGAAACGGAAAGAAGACTAATTCGCAACCCTGGAAATCCTATCCCCCAGGTTACAGGAGCATTTCTTTCCGTAAGAAAACATCCATTTCAGCAAGTGGAATCCCCTCTCCTGGCTTCAAACATATTGAGCTTATTATTTTTTTCTGTATGACAGGATCAGTACCTCAGTATCAGTAAATAATGACCTTTTCTTGACCTCGCACATGTGTTGACGAATCAGTTAACAGCTTTGACTATAATTATTGTTCTATTGAAGGGATTTATAGTAATAATTAAACCTAACATAATACAATAAATCGTGGACACCCCCACCCACAGCACCGTCAGACCACGTCTGGCAAACCCTGGCGCCCTTTAGAAGGTTGGGGTTACGGGACGTTCATAATTTCATTGGAGGCCTGTTTGGATGACTCAACCATGATCAGCGAATCTTGTAGCAAGCTGACAAAATGCATAAGGTTAAAAACTAGATTTTTACAAAAGCGACATATTTGTCTCAAAATGTTTTATTTTTTTCTTTCATTTGTCATTTTTCTTTATTTCTGACTAAATTATGGTCAAATAGATTCTAAGCCTGTTTGTACAAGTAGGCATTGCACTATAATAGTCAAAAATATTTTTAAAAATCGATTTTCCCAAAAAAAATCGATTCCCCACCCCACCCTAAAAAAAACCCCGATTTTTTTGGCTCCACATATCTTTCAAAAAATGTATGCCCATACTAATATATGTCGCAAATTTGGCACTTTTGTCATCTGTGTAACATCTTGACGCTAAGGCATTTCACAACACATGTAGGCCTACTCTTTGGCGGAATTAGTCTTATCAAACACAACCAAATATTTGTTCATCAAAGAGCGTATGGTAGATATATTGATTGTGTGTTTACTTGAGTT